GGGTTTTAAATACCCCCTCCACCCTCCTCGACCCCTCACCACCTTTTAAACTTTTAAATTCCCTTCGAAAACAAAAAAAAAAAAAATTTTTCTCGAGTAAAATTAAAAAAAAAAAAAAAATTTATTTATTTTAAAGTTTTCCATCAGATTAACAATAATGATAATGATAATAATAATAATGATAATAATAATAATAATAATTAAAATGACAATTAATTATTAATACGCACATTTGTGACGAGAGACAAATTAGAGAAAAAAAAAAATCACACAAAAGAAAAAAAATTTTTTACGATCAGCTGAACATTTCTCAATTATTAATTTCATAAGCATAATAATAATGATAATAATGATAATAATAATAATAATAATAATAATAATAATAATAATAATAATAATAATAATAATATTAATAATAATAATAATGATAATAATAATGGCTCTCAATATTTCAGTCTTGAATTAAATAATAAACACGTTTTCGTTTTCGATTCGATGTAAATGGTGGCTCCTCCACGAAAAAATAATCAAAAAAAAAATTCAATTCGGACAATAAGCTCCTCCCCTTCCCTCTACCAAATCATCCCCATCATCTCCATCACCCCTACCCTCAAAATTCCCTCCTTTTCCTTTTGCGATTTTTTACAATAGGCAAAAAAACGAATGATTAAAACCGTTTCGAATCATTCCGTCTGTGCTGCTGTTATTATTTATTTATTATTATTATTATTATTATTATTATTATTATTATTATTATTATTATTATCGTTATCAGCGTCGTTATTAAATATATACGTATACATGTGAAATGAAATTTATAAATATGCATTAATCATTCCCGACAAAAATTCTAGTTATAGTATATCTACTTACCACCTCTGATGCGTGTAAACCGTCTTCCGTTAGTGATTTCGGCCCGGAACTATCTCTTCTATAATGCGTGCTCCTAAGGGGGGTTGTGGGACATCCTGAAAACGAATATCAATTTTTTTTTGTTTGTTTGTTTTAACGTTTATCAAACTTGGAAACAACCGACGAAAAAAAAAAACGCGTTAGAATCGATCTTATTCTTATTAAAACGGCACCGAACGCGAAAATTCGTTTAAAAAATTATACTCGTACCCGGAAAAACGCGCGAGAAAAGGAGACAGAGAGAGAAAGAAAGAAAAAGAGAGAGAGAAAGAAAATTCCGTACATTTTCCGATCACGTAAAGGGAAAAAAAAAAAAAAAACTCGAAACAAAACGAAAGGCATTTTTTTAAACACCGGAAAAAGAAGAAGAAAAAAAAAATGAAAACATCATTCATCGACAAAACGTGAACGGATGATTGCCGACAACAACACGTGAGACAAACAACTTTAAAACACGTAAATAAATAAACACGAACGTACGAACGAACAAACAACAATTTTTTACAGACAGTGAGAAAGAGACAGAGAGAGAGAAAGAGAGAGAGAAAAAAAAAATAAAAAAATTACGATTTTTCACGACGACGAAAAGCAGCGAAAATATACACATTAAAACACGTAAATAAAATAAATATATACATAAATAAGCGGAAAAAAAAAATTAAAGTAAAATTCACATTTTTATCTGAAACAATCCAATACAATCAATCCGTGAATGAATGAATGAATGAATCAATCAATCAATCAATCAATCAATCAAACGAACAGAAAAAAAAATGTGAATTTTACTTTTTAAAATTATAAAAAAAAAAAAAAAATCATTAAAAAATAATAATTGGCATACCAAATGTGCAATTTTACAGGAGCAGTCATTCATTTAAAAAAAAAAATAAATAAATAAATAATGATAATAATAATAATAATAATAATATTAACTACATAAAATAAAAATAAAAATAATAAATAATAATAATAAATGCTTGCTTGCTTGCTTTTTTCGTTTTTCATTTTTTTTTTTTGCTTTTTTTTTTTAAACATCAGTTCGCAAATAATAAAAATAATTAATGATAATAATAATAATAATAATAATAATGATAATGAAAAAAAAATTTCAAGAACGAAGCAAACACTGCAAATATTGCAAACCTGGTAAGTTACCTATATCGCCGCTGCTTGATGATTCAGTAAACGATGGAGTACCTTCAGTCCACGTCGGGGTGCTTCCTTCAACGGATGCCGGAGGTGTCCATGTGAGATTTTTCGTGGTCCCACTAGCGAAACCACTCGTTGAGCTAGACGATTCGACGCTTAATGAAGATTTATGATCCAAGCTTACCTCAGAGACGCTACCATGTCGATGGAGAAAAAAAAAAAAAAAAAAAAAAAACAAATTCATTTTCTTTTCCTTCTAAGAGGGTTCGGGCATTCACATGGGCAAACAAATATAACAACAACAACAACAACAACCATAACAACGTCATACCACCCTTAACTTATCAAAAAAAAAAAAAAAAAAGAAAAAAGAACATGTAAGACTACTACTATTATTATTATTATTAGTTTAAAATTTCGAAAAAAAAAAAAAATAAATAAATAAAAATAAATAAATGAAAAGAAAATAAAGTAACATGCTCAAAAAAAAAATGAAAAAAAAAAAAAAAAAGAAAGAAAGAAGAAGAAAACCCAGGCATACGTAACGCAATCATTCTACTCATTCCCCAAATGCAACATGATAATGACAATAATACTAATAATAATAATAATAAAATTTTGTGTTTGTTTTTATTTTAAATTTTCCGTACCTGACAGATTCTTCGCGGTAACTCCGAATGTGATGAGGATTTCTGTGTCTAGGAGGAGTGTCCCCCCTAACCGCGTCTTCAAAGGCGGGAGGAGGAGTGGAACAGGAAGGGATCCCGCTACAGCTATTTGCGAATCCTGTAAGCAAGTTAAAAAGCAAAAAAAAAAAAAAAAAAAAAAAAAAAAAAAAAAAACGTTATGATAACGACAAACAAACAAACAAACAAATAATACAAAAATTTAATCATTATTATTTATATTTAAAAAAAAAAAAAAAAAAGAAAAAGAAAAAAACACGCAAACAATGCAAGAAAAATTTGAAAGCAGTTAAAAAAAACCCCCCCCCCTCCCTCATCAACCCCAATCTATCAAGCCCATCATTATTTACTTCCTTTTTTTCTGGTTCGAAACAAAAAATTAAATAATTTGCAATTGTGATCACCCCAAAAAAACATAAAACGTTTTCCCACCCGGAAAATCCCAAATTTTCACTCCTACTTTGTGTCTACTCTCGTGATTTTATATTACACAACCAACACATAACATTTTTATTATCATTATTATTACCCGAATAACGTATTTAAATATCATCGTGTTAAACATGTTCGTGTAATCGGACACCAACATGGAAGCGTAAAATTTTCGTCTCCCGCGTACCCGTCGCCGAAGGGAAACTCTCTAACAACATTTTCCCTGCTTTCAAACCAACGTAACGAACGGAAAACTCCTGACGAAATCAAAAAGAAAATTTTTTTTTTTTTTTGTAAATTACCTCGGTTAGACGGCAAATCACGTTTTGTCTTCGCGTTACCCCTCGGAGGAACGGGAGGAGGAACTTTGCTTTTTTGCGGAAGTGTTGCGCCTCTGTCTAAAACGGCTGGAAAAACGTGAGAGGTAAATGATTGCGATACAGGAGATATGGGACCTGTTTTGGGAGGACAAGAAGATGATGACGTTGATGATGAAAATGAATTTTTATTCGGGGCACCCGCGGCGCTCCCGCTAAACGCTTTATTATTATTATTATTATTATTTGCGTTAAAGGATTTGAGTGTTGATGAGGTCGGGGTTTGACCGTCCGATCCTGTTTCTGTCGTGTGAGTCGTCGCAACTTCGAAGTGGAACGCATTTCCACTCTCTTATGCGGCATTATCATTATTATTTATTTATTTATCGTTACGAATCCAAGGGAGAAAACGTTCAGACATGATAAAAAAACACAAAGACATTTTTTTTTTTTTTTTTTTTTTTTTCAAAATTCATTTCGTGAATTTCATTTTGCATTAATGAAATCTACTCACCCTGACAATCATTTCCTGCTCGATCGCATCCTTATTTAGTAAGTTTAAAAAATGTAACAACAAACAAATTAGTGGTTAATAATTATTGTTAATAATAATGATAATAATGATGACGTGTCGACTTTCGCATCGCTGTCGATTTTCATTTATTTATTATTATTATTATCAACATTTTCACAAATTTAATATCGATAAAGTATAGCAAATGTTATTAATTAATAAAGCAAATTAATAAAAAAAAAAAAAGCCTTGGACGAGTCACACACAAAAAGAGAACCCATTTGAGAAATCCAAGAATGCCAAAATTTTACCCGGATATTAGTAATAATAATAATAATAATGATAATGATAATAAACGTACCTAATTCTGCGTCGGGTTCTAACGGTCTAACGGCTCGCGATATGCTTTTCCTTTTCGACGGAGAATGTTTCAAAGCTGGAAAAAAAAAAAAAAAAAAAAATTAATTATTAAAACTCGTCCAACAAATCGACATTAATATAAAAAATTTTGTTAATGATGATAATAATAATAATGATAATAATAACAGTGTGTAAACAAATTAAAAAAAAAAAAAACACGTTCGTGTTATTGAGTTCATGTATAAAAAAAAAAAAAAAAAAACTATTCCTACTGGAAAATTATTATTATTAAAAAAAAACGATATCCTTAAAAACATTCGAAGCACTTTAAATTTTAACCAATAAAAAAAATTTAGTAATAATAATAATAATAATAATAATTTGAATATCGATCCCTTTCTTTCTTTTTTTTAAATTTAAATTTAAATTCATTTCAATTTTAATAATTTATGTAAAATAAGTACACAATTATGGTTCGAATTTTTTTTTATTTTTTTTTTTTTTAAACAATTAAAAAAATAATAATAATAATAACACACGGAAGCACACTAACTCTCATGCATTATTATTGTTAAAAAAAAAAGGATAAACATTAATTAATTAATTAATTAATTAATTATTTTTTCGATCCATTAAAACTAAAATCAGACATTTTAGAAAAACTAATGGCAAACCGACACAACAATTCAACACAGACAGACGTCTTTTTTTTTATAAACAATTAATTATTTAATTATCAAAGCCTTCTTATTTATTTATTTATTTCCCCCCCCCCCAAACATTCGACACGTTACGTGCGTCAAACTTTAAGTTTAAATTAAAAAATTATCATCATTATTTTTACGCAAGCTCTTTAAAAAAAAAAAAAAAAACGGAAACAAAAACAACAACAACAACAACAATGACATTTAAAAATTATGCAAAAAAAAACAAAAAATTTAAAAAATTAAATTAATAGTGAGAAATATATGTTAAAATCGCGTGCTCGACAATTATTGTTAATAATAATAATAATAATAATAATAATAATAATAATAATAATAATAATAATAATAATAATTCATTTCGATTTTCATTCGCACATGCATAGAAAAATTCAATCAATTAATTTTTTTTTATTTAATAATTTTTTTTTTTTAATTTAATAAATATTTTCCAAGGGTGTTTACCTATGTAACTCGTAACCAGAGTCCTAAATTTCCGGTGATTTCCCTTTATTTCCGGCAAATCCACTAAAATAGTTAGCAGACAAAAAATATTTACAACACAATATTATTTTTCACAACGTATACACACACTTTTTTTTTTTTTCATATAATATTTTCAATTATACTAATATCAATTTATAATAATAATAATAATAATGTTTAAGAGTAATAAAAAAAAAAAAATATGAATGAATGAAAAATGCAAAAAAATAAATAAATTGTAAAAAAGCTTCGCTTATTAAATATATGAAAATAAAAATTTTCCTCTTTTATTTATCGTAAATAAGCCTCCTCCCTCCTCCTCCTCCTCCTACTTAATTAAACGTCGTCGTCTCTTCATTTTTTTTTTCTTTTTTTTTTTTTTTTTCAGTTTCGTTTGATAACAACAAAAGCACGGGAGGTAGTAACAACATATTATTGATAAATAAATAAATAAGTAAATAAACATTTATGTATATATGTAAATATATATAAATCCATCACAGTCATATTGAAAAGAAAAAAAGAAAAAAAAAAGAAAAAAGAAATAATAATGATAATAGAAAAAACATTTTCTTATCGTTCTGTGATCCACTTAACCAAATACATTTATAGAATAAATAATAATAATAATTAACATACAACACGAATATAATTTTTTTCAATCATCAATCCGCATTCCATATAGTTCAAACCATATTTGTCAGTACAACATCCTGTTCGAACGAAATTTTTTTTTTTTTTCTACGTATTCAATCCGACCGACCGTTATCGTCGTTGACGTAACGCGAAGTGCGCGCGAAATTAAAAAATAATAATAATAATGATAATAACGTTGTACGAAAGAGTAAAAGAGAAAGAGGGGAAGAAGGGGAGAAGAAGAGGGGAAAGGGGGGGGGGAAGGAGGAAGAAAGAAAAACCCCATCAAACAATAAGACAATTCATCGTCTGAACATTCAAGTCATAACCCTCGTCCTCTGCATTTTGTCTTTTAAGCTTAGCTTTTAACGAATTTCTAAATTTTTTTTTTTTCGACTTACGTGAAGGGATTTTCTTAAATACTGTTTTAGCCATGAAATCTTGAAAACGTTGAGCGTAAAACCCGGGCCTATGTACAGATACTGTATCCTGTAATAATAAAAAAACAAAACCGAATGTAATTGTAACCCAAGTTTTTTTCTCTCGTTTTTATTCACAACAACAACAACAACAACAACTTACTCCATCGTGTATCATCGCTTTCCACGTGTGCTCCAATTTTTTCTTGAGCCTATAACTCTGTAATATGTCTATAATTCCCATAAATAATAATAATCGTTCACCTTTGGCGTTTCTAGCAGGTATACCTCCGGGTCTGAAATCGTAATGACGATAGTTTTCATAAATGCACTACGCTACTCCTATTGCTACCACTACCACCACCACCACTACTACTTACGGCACATCGTCTTGGTGATCGATGGGTTCGCTTTCCGCTTGTATACTTTCCAAAGCCGTCGAATGAGCCACCAATTTTTGACGGTTTATGCTTTTCGATCTGTTTAATGCGACGTTGCCACCCCTTAAATTTTCTTCCCTTTCTAAACTATCGAGTTGCGTTGAATCTAAACTATCAAAGTTTTCATTACTTCCTAAATTTGAATTTTCCTAATTTGAAAAGAAAAAAAAAAAGGAAAAAATTAAATCAACAAGTCCAATTTGTAGTTTTTCTTCTCCCTTAAAGTTATAAAGTTTTTCACGTTACCAATTTTTCCCTAGCACACTGATCCAAATTATAAACTCCCACCAACAATGAATAATCCATTATTTTAAAACTTTCTAATACTCTGCAGTCTCTTTGTATTGTTTTTATCAAAGCCGAGTACGTATCCGCTTCGAGAAAAATACCCTCCGGATGATGTTCCATAAAATCCAAATCTTTAAACGTGGGAGATTTTTTCGATTTTTCAAATTTACTAGCCTGCGGATGCAATTTGAAAAAAAATCATTAGACAGAAAGAGAGAGAGAGAGAGAGAGAGAGGGGGGAGAAAAAAGATTTCGTTTGTACCTTTCTCTTATATGTCGAACCTTTAAGATCGTATTTTTGATGAAGCGTAACTGAACTTGGTAACAAATTATTCATTGCAACTAATCTCACGTTTTTGCTGTTGCACTGATAACAATAAAGTCCAAAAAATTTTGGTAACAACGTTCTCGGATTTTGGTTTAAATTCTAAAAATTGAAAAGAAAAACAAAAAAAATTTTTTTTTAAAATTTGTCTTTACGTGAAAACCGCGAAAACAATCATCCTGTTCAATTAATTAATTACCATGTAATACCCGGGTAGTAATTTTTGCAAAAATTCTCCTTCTTTGTGCTGAACCGTTTTTATTATGAATTCATCATCTTCCGTCAAGTAAAAAATCGAACCGCTCGCACCTGGATTTTGTAATTCTCTTAGGGGAGCAGAACACATCGACATCTGAAAAGTAAAAAAATTACAAAAAAAATAAAAACCTTGCAACGTTTTCATTCCTCCTCAGACTACTACAGATTCATTCTCTACCGAGAAAAAAAAATTAATAGTAATAATAATAATTAAAAGATAAATGACGTAATCGATTTTTTTTTTTTTTTTTTAAATAAATCAGTAAATAAAAATGCATGTAAATTTTTCCAACGCGGTTCACAAACTCACCAAAAAATCATCCGGTTGTATGCCGAACAAATCTCTAAAATATCTAAAAGCGATCGGAGCGTAATTTTTAAATTTAAATTCAGTAAAATGATGAGCAGGAGTGTGATTCGAACCCATGGTTGGAAAATTACATGTTTCTACCGTCATAAAGTCTTGCATTAATAAATCTCTCTCCGGTTTTGATGCCAGTCCACCGACAGCATGCTGTATTCCAAGCTGTATGGAACCCATTATTTGTGAAGTTTGTATCTGTAAAAAAAAAAGCAAAAATGAAATTAAATTATGTACGCGTGTGTGTGCGTGCGTGTGTGACTTAGAGAGAGAAAAAAAAAAAAAACCTTTTTGTACCTGTCTGTTAATGATGAAAATGCCACCAATGAATTAGACATTTTTTTTTTTTTTTTTTTTTTTGTGTGTAAGATGTATGTATAAAACAGACACAAATTTTTTATTTTTATTTATTAATTGAACGATCGAATATGTTATATACAGCAAGATTATGAATACTGACACAAACAACAACAACAGCATCAAGGGCAAATGATTATTATTATTTTTCTTTATTTCTTTCTCTCTTACTCACTCTCACTCTCTCTCTCTCTCTCTCTCTCTCTTTCTTTCTTTATTTGCAAAGCAAAGCTGAAAATCAGCACACAGTAAGTGATCGGCAGCTTGCCTATCGATTGTGATCATCAATGAAAGAGATTGAAAAAAAAGAAGAATTTATTGATTTTTTTTTTTTTTCAACTTGTTCATTAATTACTTTTGCTGTTGTGCTGCTGCTACTATTACTACTACTACAGATTTTTTTCAACTAGTGTCTTTTTTTTTTTTTTTTTAAAGTTAATGAAGTAATTTAACAACAAAATATTGATATGTTCTAATCATCAGAGGTGGCTTTTCATGAAGGTAATACTTTTAAAAAAAAAATATGATAATGATAATATGATTCTACTCGTTTTTAAATAATAATAATAATAATAACCTTTTTATATGTTATTTCACCTCCCACGCCAACTCTACGATGTCCAATTTTTCTCTCTTTTTCCGACTTATGCTTGGATATATATGTTGGTGTCTTTGGACCGGATCCATTTGCATCACCAGACGCTGCAGCCGCTGCCGCCATATCTAACGGCGGCGGTTTCACTCTTTTATTTTTTTCTGAAATATTAATTAAATTCATTAATATTGTTCTTCATGACATCATCCTCTACTCATCACAGATGCTGAAAGATCATAATAATAATAATAATAAATCAAATTGTTAAATGATTTTACATTCGACAAAAAAATTTAGGAAAAAAGATTTCATGGTAAGTAAATTAATTTCTGATAATAATAATATTCGAGTCAAAGGTCACAGACTTATTTAAAGAATTCAAGGTAATTTATAAATCTGCATTATAATTATAGAAATTAAGTTTTATTATTAGATATATATATATATATAAATTGTTTACAAAATTCATGACATGTAAACCGTGAGAATCGTTAAAAAGAATTTTGTGTTTCTTGCAATATAATTAATAATGATGACAGCACTCAAGTTTAACCGACATCAATTTTAAAAATTTTTTACCGATTTGTGCACACAATTATTTTAGATGCTGTTATATATTTTTTTTTTTTTGTTTTATTTTATATGATTAACTTGATTTTTGAAACTTTTTACAAATATATATCTGCAGATTAATTGTAAGATAAATTTTTTACAATTTAACAATTAGTTTAAATTCCTGTTGACTTATCGTTAAGTAAAAATTTATTAAAAAAAAAACTTCGAAATGAAAAATAATAATAATAATAAAACAATAAATGTTTTTCATGTAGAATAATCGAATTATCTTATTTTATTTTATTTTTTTAAAAAGAATTTAGCCTTACATTATTTACAAAATGTTTCGATAAAATGTACTTTGGAACGAGTCTTGTTTGTTTTTTCTCGAAACAAAAAAAAAAAAAAAAAAAAACTTATTTTTAACTTATTTTCATATTGGTTTCAAATTATAATTGTGATTAGATAAATCAGTGAGAATATAATATTTAAAAAAAAAAAAAAAAAATGTATAGAAAGTTATTAATTGATGATTAAAAAAAATAATTTATTGATTTTTTTTGTTCGCACACTTTGAAAAAATAAAAATTGAAAAATTGAATTTTATATTCAAAATGGTAATAATATTTGTGAAGGAAAAAAAAAAATTAAAATAAAATATAAAGTTTAAGGGCACTGAAATGAATCATTGTTCTTATGAAATATATTCTAAGAATTTCTCTCAAGGATGTATTTAAAAGTATTTAAAATAGAAATATTTGTATAAAAGGTACATTGTTAAAAACATTTAAAAATTAATATCAGGTTATCTAGGCCAACACATACCTCAACGCCCAGTCTGTCAAAAAAAAATAAAAATTCGATAAACAAGATTTCTATTGAAAAAAAAAAAAAAAAAAAAAAAGAATTTCAAATGTGAAAATTCAAAAAAAAAAAAAAAGTTAACGCCTAAAATACAATTATAAAATAAATAAATACCTTCTTCATCGCTTATATCTTCACCAATATCGCCCGCTATATATTTGGAATGCGGAATAATTGAATTATCTTCAACCGTGATACCCTCATCTAGACTAGCCCCAGTCGCCATTTTGGAAATGAAAACAATTTCACTTCGGTCGCCGTTTAACTAATAATGTAAATTACCATTTTACATAAAACGTTTTTTTTTTTTTATCATAGTTAATAAATCCGACACGATTTTAAACATTATTATTTTTTACTACTCCAAACACTAAAACATTTTATCTATATTAATTATAAAAAGTATTAATAAAAAAAAAAAAAACGAAAAAAACAAAAAAAAAAAAAAAGAAATAGAAAAACTGATATTGACAAGATCTTTAACATAAAATCCCCCTTTCACTCGGTTGCCAAGTTATTACTTGTCGGGAATCTCCGGGCACGTGATTAAATTGTCTAAAACCCCGACGTTTTTCTTCTTTTTTCGCGGTAATCCCATTATTGAATCGTCATCATTTGAACTGACTCATTTAAAAAAGACTAACAACTTATTAGTCATAATTAAATATTAATTATTATTATTATTTTTTCTTCACTTCCTCTTTATTTATTTCATTTAAATGCGAATATCATAATCTCGTATTCATTCGAGATAAATTTATAATTTAATTCTACCAATCATCAGCCATTAAAACTTTATTTAAAGAAATATTTTACTTTATGATAAAAAAATTATTATTATTATTAATACTTATTAAAAATTATTTTAATTAAAATAAATTTAAATCCTTTATAAATAATACACAGAATTAAACTCTAATTTGATTTATTGATGAGAAGGAAAATAAATAAATAAACATCATCATAGACTTTATTAAATATATATATTTATGTATTTATGTACATAAAAATAACATTTATATTTTTATTTTATTAAATTATATATTTATATATATTTTAAAAAATTATAAAACAAATAAATATAATTACAGATTAAAATATATATTATTTATCCAAGTATTTTATTTATTTATTATTGTTAACAACTACATCAAATAACAATCAACAACATAAAATTATTTTTTTTTATTTTTTTTCCTTCATCTTAATATTAAATTCTATTCAGTAATAATAATATTAATAATAATAAACCAAACGAATAATAATAATAATAATTTTATCATCTAAGATTGTCTAAACATATAAAGGCAATTTATTAAGTTTAACGGATTTTTTTTTGTTTGTTTTTGTTTTGATTAATAAAAAATATTCTATGAGCAAAAAAACGATTCACTAAAAAATTTTTCTGTTTTTATTCGCTTTTCCTTGAATTTGTGATAATAAATTTTTTTAAATCAATGTCACAATAAAAAAAAAAAAAAAAAAAACTTACATAATTTCACGAATATATAAACACACAACACGCATATTTTTTTTTTTTTTTTTTTGTAAAAGTTATGCAAGACGACAACGTATTTTTTTTTGTTTTGTTATTATCAAACGTTATTATTTAAAAAACTATGACGTCATATATTAATAAATATAATATTTGTTTAGAAAAATCATCATACGCCGTATACATTCAAGAGCATACGTTTTTTACAAAAAAAAAAAATTTCCCTTTGTACTTTTATATCCCCAACCCCTGCACGCACACGCATCCCTCACCCCCCTTGTGCCCCTTCTCTCCCCGGTGTCGATCTCCTCCCATCTCATCCCATCCCGGGAAAACGAAATTAAAATCAGTTTTTTTAAAAAAAAAAAAAAAAAAAAAAAAAAATGATTTGATTCGACGTCAAATTAATACAAACACACTCACGGATAACAAACAAACAAACAAACAAACAAACATTTACGACATTTTTTTTGTTTTCTTGTTCTAACGTATTGACTCGGTAGGAAGTTTATTTTCACGTTACAAAAAAATTTCTTTTTTTTTTTTTTTTAAACATTTTCATTAAACATTATTATTATCTCATATTAAAAAAAAAAAATTTATAAATTTATTTTTTTTACACGTGACAAACGTCACGTGGATCGATCGTGACGTCACGCGCGCTCGTGTGTTTGTGTGTGTATTAAAAGTTAATTCTATTCTACGTAAAACATGAGCTACTGTATGGTAACAAATTAATCGATTATTATTATTATTATTATTATTATTATTATTATTATTATTATTATTATTATTATTATTATTATTATTATTATTAATTATTGCTTTTTAAACGTACGTACGTAAAAAAAAATAATTAAAATTTCGTAAAAAAAAAAAAAAAAGTTTTTTTGGTCACTCTCACGCATTCGTTCGTTTTCTCACATAATCGATACATAAATTAATTAATTATTTAATTAATTATCTAATTAATATTCTAATAAATAAAAAACAAATAATATTATATCCAGCGGATCGTAATACATAACATTTACATAAATAAATAAATAAATATACAATTTACAAATAATTCGATTTTTTTTTTTTTTTTTTAATCGTATGTTCCGACCAATATTTTTCCATTTTATGAACCGATTTTTAATAATGTACATATATATATATATATATATTTATAACTTTTATTTTAAAAAAAACAATGATGCCAACTTAACAAAAAAAAATTCAATCGAAAAATTATCGCGCGAAAACACACGAAAAAAAAAATTTTTTTTTTTTTTTTTAAAAATTTATTTACACTTTTATGGAAAATTAAATTTTTTCACTGTCTTATATTATCATTATCATTATCATCATTATCATTATTATTATTATTATATTATCATTATTATAGTTACGTTTTTTGTTCTTTTTTTTAACGTAGTAACTTAAAAAAAAAAAAACGTAAAAATTTACGCGACAAATTAGAAAATTAATTACGCGAATGTTATTTTTATCGATCGATCGATCGATCGATTGATTGATTGACTGAATGATTGATTGATTGATTGATTGCCTTTTCGTCTATTTAACCCGAATTTAATTATTTTTTTCACGTGTAAAAATAAAAAAAAAAACGATGATGACGTCAATATATGGATGACGTATACAAAACGATACCAGGCACTGATTTCCGCTCTTTCTCTCTCACGATACATAATAATAATAAAAAATTTATACATTCGATCAATAAATAAATAAATAAAATAATTTTATTAATTAAATTATTATTATTATTAATAAGATTGTCGAAAAAAATTATTATTATCATAATAATAATCATTATTGTTATTAATGAAACAAAATTTAAAAAAATGATTTCGTTACCTGAGTTATTTATTTATTTATTTTTAAATAAAATTAAATTAAATAAAAAAACGAAGGTTAAATTTAAATAAAAAAAAATAAAAAATATTAAAATGATTTTTTATGTTTCGTTTCCGGTGGTGAAATTTTAACCGGAAATGAAAAACTATGACTTTCGTCGTCACCGGAACTCTGTCTCGTCGGATATGATTCCGGTAGGGGTGACGATCTATCGATTGTCGAACAAATATCCGTCGTGCTGTCGTCAAAAACGGAAATGTTTGATTTTGTACAAAAGGATGTTCCGCTCGGATTTTTAAAATAAGAATTCATTGATTCGTTAACGGAAATTTCCGCCGTTCCGTTTGGATTTCTTATATCTTGCGGAGATGATGGTCTATACATTGTATTTTCCAGAGTTTTCTTCCATTTTTCTTGCGTTTCTTTTAATTTCGTCAACCAATTTTGCTGTTAATCATTTTATTTATTAATATTAATTTTTTTTTTTTTGTTAATTATTTGAGAAAAAATAAATAAATAAATACTTTTATTTGATCCGATGACGTTTGAAAACTGTGAATCGTAACGATTTGTTGAAATCTATTCATAACGACTAATACGAATGCAAATTCTAAACGACAGGAAACTGATTCCGGAAGTGTTATGTCGTAAACGAAAAATCTATCTAGGGATAACGGTTGTTTATAAACAACGTATCTCATGGAAGATTCTGGATTCGAACTGCTTCTACACGAACTCGCCCAATTTTCCGATAGGGTTGATTTCTTATTACAAAAACAAAAATTATTTAATATTTTTCAACTTTTATTATGATAATAATAATGATTGTGGTTATAATACAAACTTTTTTACTCAATCCTTTTTTCCTTTTAGTTATTAAAAGCATGTCGTCAAATAAAACGACAAAAACTTCTTGAGCTTTTCCAGAATCTAATATTTGTAATTGACCTTCTATAATTATTTGCCTTCTTGGGCTGACTATTATCCTATCGCAGGGTTGCCTTTGTAATGCCGGCTGGAAAAATTCGAAATCAATCAATATCGCGACAATCGATATTGTAACGATTTAAAATATTTTTAAAAAAAATGAAAATCAGGTACCTTTAAAAAATCAGGTACGAATATTTTCGGATCTAATTCTTGTACTGATGGCCAAACGATATTTTTTTGTATTTCTAAAAGTCTTTCGAAATTTTTCAACCATTTCATTTTATCGTCCAGTTCGCCTATAAAAAAAAGGAAATAAAATTTGTGTTTTAAAAGCTTATAGGTAGATAGAAGAAAAAGATAGAAGGTGAAAAGAAAGAAAGATAGAAAGAAAGACAAAAAGGGAAAGAAAAAAAGAAATAGAGACAAAAAGTGAAAGGCAGACAGAAAGATAGAGAGAAAAATAAAGAAATTAAAGACAGACAGAAAGGGAAAGAGATAAAAAAGATAGAAAGAGAGAGAGAAAAACAGAAAAAAGAGAGAGACAGAAAGAAACAAGGAAAGAAAGAGAAAGACAGAAAAAAGAAAGAAAAATAAAGAAAATAAATAAAAACAAAAATAGAGAGATAAAGACAAAAAAAAAGAAATACTGAAAGAGATACGGAGAAAGAGACAGAAAGAGAGAGAGAGAGAGAGAGAGAGAGAGAGAGAGAGAGAGAGAGAGAGAGAGAGAGAGAGAGAGAGAGAGAGAGAGATCTGAAAAAGAAATAAGAAAAAGAAAACATTTCGCAAATTAAAAACAATTAAAACGACTCAAAATCATTTCAAATCAACCTTTTGTCGACCTTTTTACATTTCGTTAAAGAGAGAGAGAGAGAGAGAGAGAGAGACGTAAAACAAACGAGACGGAAAAAAGGTCGGTGATGATAATAAAAGGTAACAACATTAAAAATAATAACAAGAAAAAACTCACGAATGGATTTCTCTTCAATTTCTAATATTTGAGTTATTATAATTTTTTCATTTAAATCTTCCGTCCTACTTTCAACTTCTTTTAATATCAAAGGTACTTTCATTATATGTTGTACGGGTGCAACTAATAAATCCGTTAATTGAAGTTTTTTACATCTTTCATCTTTATTACACCACTGAAAAAAAAAAACGAAAAAATTATTATAAAGTTACACAGCAGCATCCGAAAGGATCATTCGTTATTCGACACTAAGGTAGTAGTAACCTTTTCGAATTCGCAAAATTCCGTATGAGTTCTTAATGTTTCTAAATAATTTAATGCGTTTATGTAATTTAATACGTAACAGTGATAAGCTTGTGATACGGAATCCGCATTTTCATTTTTTTGAAATAATTCTCCTAAAACTTCCGTAGTTGGCAATTCTCCATTCGGACCGACTTTTTCTAATATTAACTTTATGAAACTTTTACAAAAATTATGAGTTACCTTAAATAAATAAATAAATAATAATAATTAATTCTTTCGTTTTTACAACTAAACCTTTTATTATCCATACAAAGATTTTTACGACAACAACAACAACAGCAACAGATAATAGGAAAAGCAGAGAAGGAGAAGGAGCAGTAGGAGTAGTAGGAGTAGGAGAAGTAAAAGGAGGAGGAGGAGGAAGAGGAGTAAAAGGAGGAGGAGAAGTAAAAGGAGGAGGAGGAGGAAGAGGAGTAAAAGGAGGAGGAGGAGGAAGAGGAGTAGGAGGAGTAAAAGGAGGAGGAGGAGGAAGAGGAGTAGGAGGAGTAAAAGGAGGAGGAGGAGGAGTAGGAGGAGTAAAAGGAGGAGGAGGAGGAAGAGGAGTAGGAGGAGTAAAAGGAGGAGGAGGAGTAGGAGGAGTAAAAGGAGGAGTAGTAGGAGTAGGAGAAGTAAAAGGAGGAGGAGGAGGAAGAGGAGTAGGAGGAGAGAGTGAAAAAAACTTTAATAAAAAGCGGCTGAAAAGGAAATAAAAGAAAGAAAAAAGACAGAATCCTTATCAGTTTAACGAACAACAACAACAACAAAAAGGAAACCGGAAAAGGGGAAAAAAAAACATGACTTGGGAGATAGAGAAAGAGAGAGATTTTGGAAAAAGGATTTACGAAAAGAGAAGAAATCTTTTTTTTTTTGTAAGAAGAAAAAATTTAAAAAAAAAAACAAACTCACTGAACACAATTCGTCCAAATTACCAAAAAGTAATTGCGGTTCTGCAAACATGGCGAAACCTTCAACTTGAATCCTTTTCAAAGGTTCTAAAAAAACATTTTTCAATACCATTAAATGATCGAATAAAAAAGCGCATTCGCTTTGAAAAAGATCCCAAACAGCTTCTCTCCTTTTATATTCTCCCTGACTGCTTGTCGATACTGGCGAAACTAAATTTTTCTCGCTCAGTGTTTGAACCTTTTACCGGAAGTAGAACAAAAAAAATTTTAGAAAAATTTCAAATGAGTGTTTACACGCTCGTTCCTTTTTCCTCACAAAAAAATTTTACTTACCAGAGGCATGGGTTTTGACATAACCGGTTTTTCCTTTGTTCTCCACGATGGTAACCTTGACCTTTCGAAACATCTTTCGCTTTGTGCTCTTACTAATTTCCTGTGAAGTTTTCTAACCGTCGTCTCTTGTTTTTTACTTTTCGTCAAATCCGACGTTGCCGATTTATCACTTTTCGTGGGTGATTTTGGTATTTGTATTTCCGACGATACGGATACCGTTTCGACTTGTGCCATCGTTTCGAACGTGAGAAGTTCCGTCGGTTTCGATACGACCGGAAATTCTTTTAAAAAAAAAAAACGAATTAAACGATTTCGAACAAGAAGGAGAGGGGGAAGGGATTATACCTTTTGAATCCGTCGGACTGCTTACATCTTCTTTTATCTCGCTTCGATCGGTCGAATCGCTTGGATTTTTCTTTCTGCTCGGCTTCCGTTTCCTATCGTTAACCCTCGTGTAAAATTCAAACCACGATAATCCCCTATAATAAGACAATTCTTCATCTTCGAATTCGGCTCTTTGTATGCAACCTAAAACTTCTTCTAATCCTCCGATACTTCCGGATTTTCCACGATTCGATCTTTCGAACTGTAAGAAAATTCAAATCGATTACTCATCTTCCGACAAAAAATTAACCACGCAAAAAACACGAAAGAAAAAAAAATCCGATAAAATAATAATGATGATATTTAATTAAAACACGATTACTTTTTTTTTTAGGCGTGACTATAGTAAAAAAGGAAAACAAACCGTGGGCGACGAATGGTACGATATAAAATAATTTTTATAATGGGAGAAAAAAACACGAGAGAGAGAGAGAGAGACAGGGGGGGGGCGATAGTGGTCAACTTGATACTTTGTCTTTATTAAATGGTAAAAGTCAAAGGTCACATAAAAAGCTAATAAAAAAAAAAAAGGTCACTTACCAATTTTAACAATGACCAAGTATTTTTTCCTTTTCGTGATTCTTCTTTAAAAGAAGTCAATCGGAGGAAAAAAAGGAAAAAAAAAAGAAAAGAAAAGAAAATAATGTCGTGTAACTAGACAATAATAACGATTAATTAATTAATAAATCCGAAGGGTAATAAAATACAAAATATTTACCGGAATCGAAATTTAAACATTGCGACGAACTTTCCAAATCTAAAGTCTTTTGCCTGTTTGTTAATACTTTACTATAAACTAAAAGATCTCCCGGACATATTTGCATTGGTGGTATGACGACAATCGAACTTCTACGATTTCTCGGAGTGTTGAAATTAGAAGACCTTATATACAAACAAACAAACAAACAAACAAACGTCATTGATATCTATTACGTCACAATTACAAATGTCAATAATAATACTACCAAGATAATTTATGATCGTCTAAATCGTTTGTTGTTAATTTTGACGTTATTATAGCTCTCCTTCTAGAAAGTGCCGACGGTGGTGGCAATTGTGATTCTTTTAATTCTTCTAAAAAATAATTTTGTATGTGATTTGATTCGTCTTCCATTTTTTGTTTCGGTCTAAAAACCGAATCTGCATCTCCGCTCTTGATAAAAAAAAAAAATATGAGGATTTAAATAAAAAAAGCAGACGAAAAAATATTTTTTTATGTGCAAAACTTACTTCATTGTGAATTATTGGACTTGGTAAATTCATGTAATGATTGGCAGCTTCATCTCTACTTCCGTCTCTTTTTCTGACGAGACCTAACAAACAAACAAACAAACAAAAGTTTTTTTTTTGTATATGAAAATTCAATTTGGCGAATTTCCAATCGGTCGAATGATCAAATTTTTTTTCCTTTTTTCATCGTTTTAAAAATTTTCCACGTAATTTATTCCAGCTTTTGTTTCCTCTTTTTTCGGGGGGGGGAGTGAAAAACGATAATGATAATAATGATAAACTTACCCCCGCTGACGATTTTCAAACGATTTTCATCGTGTATTGACGTGCTTGTTTGTTGCATGCAAAAATGACACGGAGGATCAGCATTTGGATATTTTAAATCGTCCAAATGTTCGATTCCAACTTCCGGTTCCAGTTCTAATGGAAAGAAAAAAACGAAATAATCGACAAAAATCGTAATTCTTATTAATAGAAAAAAAAAAAATGGAGATGAGAATAGAAAAGTAAATCGGAAATCGATTCTTATTAATTAATTAAATTTTTTTTCCATTCATTTCCGGAAAATTGTTTCCGGTAAAACCCATAAATTGTAAATATATAAATATTTTTAAATGAATTATTACGGGATTTTAATACGCGTTCATATATTGTTATTATTATTCGTTCGCACGAAGAATAAAATGACGTGTCAATAAATTTTTTTTAAAAACTCTTTTATGTAAATAATAATGATAATAATAATATGTAAAACATTAAATTATTCGTATAAAAATAAATTTAACAAATTTATATGACGGCAACGATAAATTAAAATGAAAAAAAAAAAAAAAAAAAAAAGAAAAAGAAAATTAAACGAATAATTTTTAATATTTCAACAAAAAAAAAAAGGAAAATTTTTTTTTTTTTTCAAATTTTTAACGGTTTTTCGTTCGGTGACGCCGCGACGACGACGATGACGTTTCGGGCGGGGGGAAATTATAATGAATGACTCTTTCGTAATTTAATAATAGGCGAAACTTTTTCCCCCTCCAATTTCTCCCTCTTGGTTTCGTTAACCTAACAATTTATTATGGCTCTATGAAAATGATCACGTGGTAGTTACAGAGAATTTTTTTTTTCACGCGGATTCGTTTTTATTCGTTTCTATGAAAATTTTTTTTGGGTAAAATAAGAAAGAGAAAATGGAAAAATTAAAAGGAAAAATTGAAACCGAGTAAATTAATAATAAGTAATGAAAAGGTACGTTTTTTTTTTTTTTTTAAGGTTTATCACACGCATTTTTCCAAGAGCCTTTTTTTTCCTTTTTTTTATTTCCTTTTACGATAATCGATCGATACGAAATTTGATTTTAAAAAGGAAAATTTCTCTAACTAACTAACTAACTAAATAAATAAAAAAAGAAAAAAGGAAAAAAAAAAATTTTATCCGTAAAACTTTACTTAATAAATCCTGGATGACATTTTAAGATTGAATTGTCAGTCATTAAAAAAAAAAAAAATTTTCTTTTTTTTTTTTTTTTTGTTTTTTCAACGGAAACGACAGGAAAAATTTTTTTCTTTCGAGATTTTTTTCTTTTTTTTCTTTTTTGTATTTCTCATACGTCGAAAAAATTTTTTTCTTATTTTTTAAATGTAAAAAAAAAAAATTGAGTGAAATTTTGAAAATTATTTAAAATGACAAAAGAAAAGAGAAGAAGAAAAAAGTGGGATAGAGACAATAAGAGAGAAGAATAAGAAAAAGGGTGAGAGAAAGGAAGAAAAAGAAAATAGAAATGAGAGATAGAAAAAAAATGAGTGAGATAGAGACAAAGAGGAAGAAAAAGAATAAAAAAATAAGATACGGGAAAGACAGAAAGGGAAAGAGAGAGAGAGAAAGAAAAGGGAAATAAGAAATAGAGGAAGAAAGAGAATTAAAAAACCAGAGGGGAAAAGAAAATAAAAATGATAGAGAGAAAGAGAGAAAATAAAAAAATGATAGACGGAAAAGAGAGAAAGAACAAAAAATAAGTGGGAGAAACAGGGAGAGGAAGAAAAAAAATTAAAAAATCAAAGGAAGGAAAAAGAATAAAAAATAAAAGAGAGAAAAAGAAAATGAGAGAGAGAGTGTGATTATTTGTCAAAAAAAGAAAATTTACGCCTGTACCTGCTTAAGTGCACTCAAGGGTAAGAGTTGGAGAGAGAGAGAGAGAGAGAGAGAGAGAGAAATAAAAAAGTAGTTAACTGATAAATAAACAAGCAATAAAAAAAAAAATTTAAAAATTGGCGGGAAATTTTTTAAAATTTCAAAAACTCTCAATTTCCCGTCAGTTTTTTTTTAAACTAGGTGCGCACGCACATGCACAAACATTCATTTAAATTTTCTTTTTTTTTTAGCAAACAAAACATTTTAGAAACAGTTTGATAACGACAATAATAATCAAATTCCAGCTTCTTTTTTTTCACGCTATAAAAGGGATTTAAAAAAAAAAAAAAAAAGAAAATCATTTTATTTTCCTTTTTTTTTTGTTAGAAAGTTTTGTAATAAAAACTCAAATTTTTTTTTTTTTTATCATATAATTCCGCGAAAACTTTTTTATTTTACAACATGTAATAACACCGGATAAAGAAAGAAAGAAAGAAAGAAAAAAGAAAAACGGAAAAACTTGTATAAAAAAAATTCGACGACTACAAAAAAAAAAAAAAAAATTTTTTTTTCCCTCATCCTTTTTATTTTGTCGTTGAAAAAAAAGTTTTAAATTAGAGAGAAAAAGAGAGAGAGAAAAAGAGAGAAAGAGAAAGAAAGAGAGAGAGAAATAGAGAGAGAGAGAAAAAAAACGCGGCGTAAATTTTTTTATTTTTTATTTTTCCTTTCAATTTTTTTATCGGAGCGTAATTTTCTTCTTTTTTTATTATAAATAACATCGAACGAAATGAAAGTATTATTAACAATAATAATGATAATAATATTAATAATAACAATGATAATTATAATAATAATAATAATAATCATCATCATCATAATCATAATCATAATAATATTAAAAAAACCTGTTGCTTTCATAATAAAAAGGATTTTTTGTAGCAAAAAAATCGTAACGAAATTATTATTATTATTATTATTATTATTATTATTATTATTATTATTATTATTATTATTATTATTATTATTATTATTATATTTATACCGATAAATGTTCAGACTAATAATTATTACGTCACGATCGACTGAACAATATTTTATTTATTTTTTTTTCATAAAATAAAATAATTTAAATATTGTTTACATCGAAAAAAGAAAAAAATTTAATTAAAATGTCAATTATTATTATTATTATTATTATTATTATTATTATAATTTATATATCGAAATTAAATCAATTGGAAAATCAATTAATCGATTTTAATTTTTTCCAAAAAAAAAAAAAAAAATTTTCCTTGACTTCATTTTAAATGAAAAATCATTCAGGGAGTATATTTGATTTTTATTTTTTTTTCCTTTGACAGTATGTAAAAGGAAAAGAAGAAGAAGAAGAAGAAAATACGTTACGGGATTCATTCCCAAGATGAAAATTTAAAAGGTAAAAAAAAAAAAAATTTTTTTTTTGGGGTTTCCTTGGGGAAACGCCGCGGTGGTAGTAGTGGGGGGCGGAGTACGAAAAACTTTTTTTTAAGAAAGTGAAACTACTTTTAAAAAAATAAAAAAATTTTTTTTGTTACTCTATGAAATGAAAAGTTTATAAAAAAAAAATCAATAAGTCGTTTTTGTCCTTCCCCTTTCTTTCCCCTTCTCCCCTTCTCTCTCTCTCTCTCACTACAATAATTTTTTTCTTCTTCTTTTTATTTATTTAGTTTTTGATAAAATGGAAAAAAAGAAAAAAAATCATTTCAAAATGTCTGACTGTCAATTAAAAAAAAATGTTTTTTGTTAAAAAAAAAAAAAAGGAAAATTTCAATGGAAAAGAAAAAGGATCAAACGTCAGAATATTCGGATATATCATCTTCCACGTTTTTTTTTTTTTTTACATTCTTAAATCTACGTTTTTCATCAACCCTCTTTTTTCCTTCCTCCCTCCTTCGACCAAACTCTCTTATCGATAATGCCACGTCGGTCATTCACCCACACAGCATTCGTTAATAATTTTAATGAAAGAAAAAAAAAAAAAGGAAAAACTTACTTATGGTCGGTAGAAGAATGGAACTATCGGATCCCCTCGCTCTGCAACGTCCTATACACAAATTAACCGAATGATGTTGTTGTTTTTCGTGGGGGGAACAACTTGCGACGGTTTGTTTTTGTAAATTATCATAATCATCATCATCATCTTCATCTATTGGATCCGGTGCTGAATTATTTTGTTTTTTAAGAAAGAAAATTTTTCTCTTTTCCTGCAACCTCGTCATGTTGGCGTCATTATTATTATTATTATTATTACCATTATTATTATTATTTATTATCGATTGATCAACTCTGTAATATCGACTTTCGTCGACAGATGTTTGATGTTTTAATTTCGTATAATTTTTTTGATTTTTCAACACTTGTTGCAAAGTTTTCTCTTTTATTTTATCGTTAAATTGTTTTTGCGTCATCGTCGTCGACGCCGCCGTCGACGTCGACGTCATAGTCATTTTATCATTTTTCAAACTGCATTCGCCGGTTTCTTGTATCGATGGAAACGTGGCTTCGACGTATTTTTTCCATTCTTGAGGATCGAACGGTGCTGGAGATTTACGAAAATCCAATGATAAATTTAAATTCGACGATGAAATAGACATTTTTTTACGGTATGGAACTCTTGAAATGACGTTTTTTAAAATGTCATCCGATTCTTCTGTCACGTCTACCGTTAACGGAACTTGCGTCGTCGTCGTCGTCGACGACGGTGATGATGCAGTCTTTTCAAAAGAAATAAGAAAATTAGAATTTGAAGAAGAAGTGTCATTTGGTTTTGACGTATTGTCAGATGTCTTATTAACATTTGGAATTGATGTCGATTGAATATTTATATCGACGCCGTTGGTTGTTTCCGCTGTAAAAGGGTTTAAAGATCGGTTGATCTCGGAGGTTTTTGTATTTTTTGGAAAAGATGGCGGAGCTTTTATCTTGGGTATCTTTGCCGGATAATTATAGGCATCGTTGGTTAAATTGGGTATGGATGATGTTTGTTGAACTTGTATTGTTGGAGCATCGAAACCAATTAGGGGATCGAATGACGCGCAACTAAATGGTCTAGACTTTCGTCTTTGTGGAGGTGAAGACATGTCTATCAAGGGTTTTGTACCTTCTATTGGTTCTACGACGTTACTTGTAAAATCTAATAGCGAGGGTACTTCGAACGCTCCCGGATCTAACGAACACGCCGATACGGGCCTTAATTTTTTCGGTGTCGGAGGAGGTCCGGGTATTCTCGGTATTTGTGAATCTGATATTTGAGTGCAAGACGTCGAATGTATTGATTTCGGTACGCATGGTCTACTTCTCGAAAGAATGGGTGTCATGGGTGGATAATGAATTTTAGAAGTTTTTTGTTTCGGTGGTAACGTGGTCGAATTTGCAACGTTTATTTGAACATCGTCGCAAACGGGATTGGTATCCGAACCTCCCGCCATTAGCAAATCCGTATCGGCATCTCCCGTCATTGGGGATTGCAATAGAGGAGTACTGAAAAATTGCGGTATGATTTCGCAACTACTAGGCACATTGAGTTGTTCTTTCGGTTTGGGAAGCGGTAATCTTTGCATTATGGTTGATGATCTTCTTGAATTAAGAGCAACGGCTATAGATACGGAAGACTGCGTGCATTGTAGTGGTACGGCCGGAGAATAAATGGTCGTTATTGAGGGTCTATGATGAGTAGAAACGGATTCAAGTGATTTTGAACGTTGAACAACGATTGCAGGTCCCCATTGAATATTATCATCTAATAAACTTTGCATCGAACCACCGACTTCGAATACGGGTTGCCCGGAAGGATCGTCTATGTGTGTATAATCCAAAGATGTTTGATCCATCCATGAATCGGACAAAGATCTTTGCCTGTGTGAAAAACGTTCTTTAAACGCTTTTGCACGTGATGATATAAAAGACATTGTCCGAAACAAAGTCCAACTATTTGAACCTTCCATTACGTTTTATTCTGGAAAAAAAAAAAAAATTTTTTTTTAATTATTTAATTTAAACAATACTTTTTGAAATACCTTCATATACATAAAAAAAAAAAAAAAAACTTTAACATCATTCACGGGTCAAATGTAATTACATAAAAAAAAAAAATTATTTTTTTGATCTAAAATTAAGTAGAACATGAAAAAGCTATAAATAAATTTTCTCTCTCTTTTTTTTTTTGTATCCTTTCCTTAACCTTTTTTTTTTCTAACCTTTTTTTCTCATCCTTTTTTTTTTCATATTTAACCAATATCGAAACCTTTACTTCTCCTCTTCTGTTTTTTCCATTGCAATTTTTTTTTTTTTTTCATTTTGAAAAATCGTAAATTTTCTTTTTATTTTTTATTTTTTCTAATTAAATTTTTTTTTACGTAGAAACACCGATGATGATAATAATAATAATAATAATAATAATAATAATAATAATAATAATAATAATAATAATAATAATACGGGATATAATAATAATTAAAATTGAAAATGAAAACATTAAATCATTTTTACGAGGGATCAACCAAAACCTTTAATACCGAATTTACAAATCGTAATTGAAGAAATATTTATCGTTAAATCCGCCCCAACAGAACAAACGCGACAGCAGGTACGCAAAAAAAGATATTTGGAAAGTGATAACAGATTCCAGTCGTGATTGAACCACTGGAAACCGTAGCACAACCGTTAAATAAAATAAAATTCTGGAATGAATTCTAAAATTTAATACCGTAAAACCCAATTAAAAATTAACAATAATAATAATAATAATCGTAGTTTTTTTTGCCAATCAAATACATTCACGTTATTAACAATAATAATAATAATAATATTAAATGAATAAATATATAAAATAAAATGATGCTTTACATTTAAAATCCCAAGTCAAATCGATGGAAAAACCGTAAAAACCTTTTTTTCTTTCTTTCCGCCATTTTTAAATATTATTAAGCATGAATGATTTTTTTTTTTATTCCAGCTTCGTAATTTCATCTTTTTTGTGTAATTTAAAAAAAAAGATTGAAATGATTTTATTATTATTATTATTATCATCATCATTTGAAGTTGATTAATTAATTTAACCCGGAGAATTACGGAAAAAAAAAAAATTAGTTTACTTTTTTTTTTTTTAAAATGAAATTGGAAAAAATTATCGAGTGGGAAAAATAGGGAAAGAAAAAATAATAATAATAATAATAATAATTACGACGATGTAAATTATGATGATGATGATGATGATGATTGTGGTGGGGATTATGATAATGATGATAATTTTTTACTATTTCGTTTTTATTTTACTTCGTAATTTTAATTTAATAAAAAAAAAAAAAAAACGGAAAAAAACGCGCGCCTTTTTTTATTTTAAATTCCTGCCACGTTTTTTTTTTTTGTTTGGATTTCATAGATTTAAAAAATGTCATTTAAATGGATTAACGTTGGATTGAGAAAAAAAATTTTTTTTTTACCATCGTATTTAAAAATTTTTTTTTTTTTTTACAGAACTTCCGGTTCGAAGGAAGTTTTGGAAAAGTTTTATTTTAACTTTGGAACGACATGTTATTATTATTATCAAAATCCTTTCGTTAACAAATTTATCCTTAATAAATTCAACTAAACTCATAGAATCGTTACGTTCGGCCATCATCATCATCATCGTGTTTCAAATCCCGGAATTAATAATTTTATCATAACGTCGATGTGTGCTTAACTACGGCCGCTTTCAATTTTTCCTTTTTTTTATTACCGTAATATTTACGACACTGGACAAAATTTTCCAATTAAAACAAAATCTCCAATTTCCACTACAATTTATAATTATATTGCTATATCATCACCATTATTATTATTATTATTATTATTAATTTAAAAAAAAAAAAAAAATTTTTTTTACGGTAAGTTTGTAGTAAGAAAAGTGAAAGGGGAGGAAACAGAAAAAAAAAGTACGACTATGATTGTGATTTTTCTTTTTTTTAAATATAAAAAGGTATTAAGCTATCATAATATTAATATAAGAACGACATATCTTCTTATAATTATTAATTTGTATAATTAAAAATTATGATGTAAAAATAAAATGACTTTAAGTTATCATGATATTATTATGAAAACAACATCTTCTTATAATTGAAAATTCGTATAATTAAAAATTACGTAAAAATAAAATGACTTTGAGCTATCATTATAATAATACAAAAACAACATCTTCTTATAATTAATAATTCATTTTTATTAAAAATTACGTAAAAATAAAATGACTTTGAATTATTTCAATTTTAATACGAGCATAACGATCTTCATATAATTCGGAATTGTGTAAAAATAAAACAACGTGGAAAATTTTATTGTTTCTCGTATTGTAATTACCAGCCCGTTGATTTTTCATTTGTAAAATTCCAAAAAAAACGCGCGTTTCTTATCGTAATCAATGATAAGAGACAAAAAAAATTTATTTAAGAAAAGATTTTAAAAATTATCACACGAACCAAAAAAAAAAAAAATGAGTTAAAGTTATAATTATAAAGGTACGATAAAATTTTTTTATTTTTAAATGGTTTAAAATTAAATAAAACGTTAAAAAGATGAAAATCTTAATTGGTATTATTATCATTATTATTTTTCTTAGTCTCCATTACTTTTCCCCGGTTTTTTTATTTATTTCATTCAGTTTTTCTTTTGTTAAAATGTTTATTTTAAGTGTAAAAGATACAAAAAAAAAAAAAAAATTCAATTAAAAGTTTAAGTAATAGGTAAGAAAATTTTTCCAGCGCATAACGAAAGTGAAAAATCATTATTATTATTATTATTAATATTATTATTATTAAATGATAAGATGAACATTTTTTTGAAAAGTCGATTATTTAAATAAATGGAATTTACAAAAATAAAAAATAAAAAAGTTTGATAATGATAATTTTTTCGAGTTTTTTTTTTTTTTTTGTTTTTTCATTTTTCCATTTTCTCTTTTTTTTCCGGGTGAAAAAATAAAAAAATCTGGATAAAATTTTAGAGAAAAAGTTTTTTTTTTACACTTTTTCCAGTTCTTTACACTTTTACAATTATTATCATTTCGTTGGCACATTTTCCGATTTTATTTTGTTTAAATTTTTTTTATAAAAAAAAAAAAAAAAAAACATTATCGCGCGGTGACGTCATCATTTTAAGGTGAAATTTTCTGTTTTCCCTATCTCCGCCATTCATTCTCCAATCCTTGTTTTAGTTCATTCACAAATAAATTTTTTTAAAGTTATTTTTTATTAAATTTAAAACGTTGACAAAAATTTTCAATTCGATTTCGAGAAATTAATCAGTGGGGAGCTCGACCACCCCCTACCGTATCTCCCCTCTTGTAAAAAATTAAAAACGTTTAACAAAAGAAATCTTTTGGGAAGATTTAAAAAAAAAAATTGATTGAAAATTCATTATCACGTTTTCGTTTTACGACTTCGAACTTTCCCATTTTCCCTTACCTCCCCCCCTTTCCCCATAAAAAAATCAATTGATTATTTTCGATTTGTTTCACACGTAATAACAATAATAATAATAATAATAATAATTTTTAAAGATTACAAAAATTCAAGCCAGGCGACGATTGAGTACAAAAGAAAAGAAAAGAAAATCACAAGAGAGTAAGTTTAAGGATTAAATCGAGAGGAGGGGAGGGGAGGGAGAGGGAGGGGAAAAAAAAGCAGAAGAAAGAGTTTGAAAGAAGACAAAAAGCAGAAAATTTATATATACGAACGACATTTTTCTCCATAAAAAAAAAAAAAAAAACTTTCCAATCGTAAAATTTTGTCGCAACTTTATCAAAAATCCGTTAAATATTTTAAAAATAAATAATAAAATAATAATATTGATGATAATAATAATAATGAATTTTTTTCCTTTCGGATCCTCGTCAAATTTGATTTAAATAATGACGTCATTATAAATATTTACGTGTCGATTGATAATTGATCGAGTTCAATGAACTTTCGTTCCGGATAATTTCCAAAGAAAATTTACTAAATTCAAACAACAACAACAACAACAACAAAGATAATAATGATGATAATGATAATAATACGAATCGATACAAATCAATTAAACGAACGAACGTTTGATAATAGCAAATAAAATAGGTTAGTAGTAATTTCGTTGTAAAAGGATAATTAAAAATTTTTCTACATCGGTTAACAATCCGAACAAGTAAATGTTACATACGACAACAACAACAACAACAACAACAACCGGTCACATGACACGTAAAATCAATTACCCTATATTATACTCATCCCTTATTATTTTATTAACTTCATCATGGCGTAAAATTTCTCGGGTAAGAAAATATCATTCAATTTCGACTCGGTTTAAACCTTTTACGAAACTCTATTAAAAAATTACCATTCGTGTGACGTCATCGTAATAATTTTTTAAATTATTTAAAATTCTCTCCTACTTAGTTGGTTTTTCTTTTTTTTTTCGCTCGACAGTAAAAAAATTTTCGTTAAGCGTTTATCGTTATTATTATTATTATTTCTCCTTTTTTTTTTGGGATTTTATTTCGGGAGAACGATTTCAAATAAAAATCGAAAACAAAATTAAACAACGTAAGAAACAAAAAGAAAATAATTAAAAAAAAAAATAAAACGATCCACTTGAAAAAAAAAAAAAATACAATCGAACGATTAATTCGATATCGAGAATCGATTTTTTTTAACAACGAAAAAGGTGATGATAATGATGATTTTTATAAAGAAAAAAAAAAAGTTTTGCGAAATAAATAAATTATTATTATTATTTCGTTCGATTTACGAAATCGAAAAAATAAAATTTTGTATTTTTTTTTTTTTTGGGGGGAGGGGAGAGGGAAATTTTTTATAAAAAATAAAAATTTAAAGTGGCAGGAGAATGACGTTTTTACCAAATAATATTTTTTCTTTCGCGGGTTTTTTAAAAAAAAAAATTTAAGATAAAATTTGTTTTTCCTTTT